CCCTGTACATCCAGCTGCTCCCTGTCCCCCTGTCCTGCTCCCAGCTTAGTCGTTGCTGTTGCTCTTGTTTCTTAGCTTGTTTGGCTTTGTTTTTGCCTTGGACTTGAGCCAAAATATTATTTTATTATGCCAGAAGAAGTTATGTTGTCTCCGTCTTTGACTCTCTCTGTCTCTCTGTCTCTCCGTCTCTGGCTGTGTCCTTGTTGTTGGCCTTTCAGCACTGGGATTACAATATTCCTCACTGCATTTGCCCAACTTTGTGGGGCGTGTAGTGCCCTCAAAAGTAGCCACAATTTTTCGTCTGTATTTTTACAATTTCTTTTCTATTTAGTGCAGAGAGGGAGGGGGAGAGGGAGAGAGCGCTCCAGGCATAATATTTGAGTCGGAAATTGAACTGTTATTGGACATGAAATTATTTCTGCATAAATATGTGTGTCATCTGCCAGATTGAGAGCAAGAGCTCTTCTAGATTAAAGTTATGCAAGACACAACTCCTTTGCAGAGTTCTCATTAAGTAATCATCAGCTACGAGTATCCTTCCATTTCATCTCACAAATGGCTGCTGTCTTGTATTTTTTTTTTTTTTGCTGCAACATTTCTGCAAGTCGTTGCCTTTCATTTTATTTCATTTTCATTTCCGTTCCGTTCGGCTCGCTTCGAGTGGCACAAAGATTTGCATTGCGATTATGCCTGGACAGCATTAAAGTTTCTTCTTACATTCCTCTCCCTCTTGCCCTGTCTCTCTTGTCCCTTTCTCTTTTTAATAATTTTTTAATAAACAGCAGTGCAAACAAAGGAGCCAAGGTAATATTTAAGGCAAGTCGCAGCGAAAGTTACACTTTGATGGGTCAGAAATGGTGAAGAAATGATTCAGCATCAAAATTTTTGTCAGGGAAATTCAGCTGCTAATCGTACCAAAAATTCTCTAAAATTATCATCATAAATGGCCTATAATTCGTTACAATTTGTATTCCTTTTGAATGTCCCATTCATAATTATGTTGCCCTTTATGGTAAGTGTATAAACATGGAAAATATGCAAGCAACGCCAGAGGAGGTTCATGTTAATGACAGGACAAGCGAAGCGGGGAGCAGCAGATAACAGCTAAAGGGAAGTGCACAAAGAAGCAGACAGAGGCAGAGACAGAGGCAGAGAGAGTGTGAGAGAATAAGTGAAAAATGGCAAAGGCAGAATGCCATGCCAGGGCGGAAGGGCGTGGCATGTGGTGACCACGCATTACCGCAAATGAATGACCATTTCAGTTGCATGCAGGACGAAAGGAGAGGGCAAAGGAGAGAGAGAGAGAAAAACCAGAACTGACCGCAACAATGGACTTTGCTTCATTATGCACAAACACGGCAATAAATGTAAGGAGAGAGCAGCACACGAAGCATCAGGATAAACCAAGAAACATTGCTGCAACGAAATTGTTTATCATCCGAGCGGCAGGCTTGCCCCTTCAAAAGTTTCCCCAGATAATGAAATGTGACAGCAAAACTTGAGGAGCAGTTAGCCATGGGAGAGAGAGAGAGAGAGCATGGAAGATAATTATAAATGTATGTGATTATCACACAGCAATTGCAGATTCCATGAGAAGGAATGGGACTGCTCCTAATGGCGATGGCATCCCCATCCTGATGGTCAACCGTTCCGACACAAACCACAATGCCAGGGCACAGATCCCAGAGCCCTGGGCTCAGAGCCTCTCAGGCTAACGCAGATCCTGAAGCCTGGAAGCTGCCTCTCGCTCTCTTTATCTTCCTCTCTCTCTCTCTCTCTCTCTCTGTCTCTCTCTCTTTCTGTCGCTCGCTCGCAAATTTCGCACAGCGTCGCATATTTCAGTTGTCATTTTTGCTGTTTTGTCAGTTTTGCGTGTGCCACAAAAGGCGACGCTCTGCCCTGCGGCCTCCCCACACTCTCTTCCTCTCTGCCTCTCTGTCCATTGCAACGGCATTTCCGCTGGCAGGCAACGCAACTGCGGTGGCAACTGCCACAAACAATTTTGACATTGCCGTGCTGCAGAGTTGCGGAGTGCAAAACCCTGAGCCGAGCCGAGCTGAGCTCTGAGCTGTGCTGTGCTGTGCTGTGCTGCTACTGCCTCCAGTGCTCCGGACAGGATGTGCAAGGATATTGTGAAATCAACGTAATGGCGGGACATTAACATGCATGCTCCGAAAAAGCTCCACTCCACTCCACACCGCTCCGTCCGGGAAGGTGGCCAGATGCCGGCAGGTGCAGGCATCCAGGCAGTCAGGTGACCTGACCTGCACAGGAAAGGAAACACGCAAAAACAACAAAAAAAGCAAAAGGAACATTTAAAATTGGCAACATCAAGTCGAGGGGGATATGCTCTACAGTGCTGCTGCCTTAATAAGTGCTTAGATGTGGCCTCCACTCTCGGCAGAGTCTAGGGAGACAGCTGCAGTGCACTGCCAGTATGGGGAACCAGCAGCTACAGTGAACGCCCAGAAGGGTGAACCCGAAAGGGTATGTTCCTGCCCCTTGCTCGCATTATCTTTGGCAGGCTGCTCTTTTTCATTATGAAATTATCAATATTTGATGTAATACAGAAGCGTGAACAGTGTGCCAGTGCCACAGCCACCACCAGAGAAGAGGGACAGGGACTGGGACTGGGACTGGGACAGGGACAGCGGCTTGTGGCAACTGACTGGTGCCTGGTGGCTGGTGGGTTTCCCGTATTAAATTCCACTCTGCCAATTGCAGGCGACTTTGTGCCGCCTACGGCTACATTTCAATTTTAAATGAAACACACAAATTTCACAGAGAGAGATTGAGGGAGCCTCGAAAACGCAGAGGGAGAAGGAAAGTGTATTTGCAGTTGTCGTTGTTCGCATTTCAATTGAAATTTACAAACCACTCGCTCGACTGACCTTAAGCTACTTTAAAAAGTGCGCTGGATAGGGGGGGGTCTGCCCCGTTCCCCGTCTCCGACTTGGGGCAAAGTAATGCGAAAAATGTTAAAATTTCAGAAACCAAAACTCAAACACGGTAGAGCGATGAAAGTTAAGTAAAAAATGTAGGTAACCAATGCCTGGGGCCAGGAAGGGAGAGAGGGAGAGCTGGACAACAAAAAAAAGTGAACGCAGTGGAAAAGTTGGAACCGAACACACACCATACAGGGGGGGACAAGAGGAGGCCCCGCTGGGTTGGGGACCTTTTTGATTTTTTCTTGAGTTATTACACAAACTGGCAACTGAAAAAACACGACACCGCCAGAGCAGCAATGGCAGTGCCTGTGGCATATTAATTCAATTAAATAAACATTGTGTACCCCTCGTCCTTCCAGCGTAAAACTCATTCGCCAGAAACCAACAACAGGCAGCGGGGCATAACTTAACTTCAATGGATTATCTCAGGGGAGCAAATTTAAGCTTTAAGAAATATATTTTTATATTTTATATAGCGGTCAGTTATTTGTCAATAAATAACACTATCAAAATTAATATTCATAGCTGGACGAACATGCACTAACTTCAATGATTCTTTGGTTGTTGCACGGCAGCGCACCCTATATACAGTAAGGGCAACACCCTGGGGCACGTTGGCCAGGTGGAATTCGTGAAACCATTTTAAATGGCGACAGCCCCAAAACGAAAAGGCGAACCAGGCGCAGGTGAGAAACAAAAATCAACCAAAAAACAAGCAAACAAAACGCATTAATAATAATCCAACAATCTGCAGTGATTGGTGCAAGCTCTTCGCAGGATCTGGTCAATGATACGAACTCGGGCCGTCGGCAGGAGCAGAAGGTTTACACCTTCAACACCGATAAGCAGGACAAGACGAGTCCCGCCGGTGGCGCTGCACAGGCGAAAAACGATGAGAAGGCCAAGCCGCAAAAGACCATACTCGAGGAGCATGGCATCATATTGGGCAAGGTAATAGGAACAGGAAACTATGCCAAGGTTAAGATTGGATTCTCCGAGGAGTACGGCAAGCGAGTGGCCGTCAAGATCATATCCAAGGTGAAGGCGCCGCCGGAGTACACGCAAAAGTTTCTGCCACGCGAAATCGAGGCTGTGAAGGGACTGCATCATGACAATCTAATAACCTTCTATCAGAGCATAGAGACCAGTCATAGGTAGGATGTGGGGATACCCTGTGAAACCGCCATCTAACCTTCAACGCTCACTCTCTCCACAGAGTTTATTTGATTATGCAGCTGGCGGAGAATGGCACACTGCTGGATTATGTGCGTGAGAAGAAGTTCCTGGATGAGGCGCAATCGCGGAAGCTGTTCCGACAACTGATTAGCGCCGTGGAGTATATACACAGCAAGGGCGTGGTTCATCGGGACATCAAGTGCGAGAATCTGCTGCTGGACGAGGACTGGAATCTGAAGCTAATCGATTTTGGATTCGCACGCAAGGACACGCGCTCCTCCGACAATCAGGTGGTGCTGTCGAAAACATTTTGCGGCAGCTACGCCTACGCCAGTCCCGAGATACTTAAGGGTCAGTTCTACCCACCGCCAGCACACGTATTTATCCATTAACATAACCCACCCCGCACTCAGGCGTTGCCTACGATCCCTTTATGTCCGACATCTGGGCCTGTGGCGTTGTCTGCTATGCAATGGTCTTTGGCCGCCTGCCCTACGATGGCTCCAATGTGCACATACTCCTGAAGCGCATCAACCAGTCGCTGGTGTTCCCCAAATCCCCACCGGCCACCAGTGAGTGCAAGCACATGATAATGCACGTGCTGGCACCCGTCAAGATCCGATATAATGTGCCACAAGTCAAAGAGGATCCCTGGTTCACTAGCAAGTAGACAGCCCCACCCATCCAGATGCTGCCGTGGAACAAAAACAAACCATATCAAATTATCAGTAAATAAATTAATAAATGTTTCCAACCGGTCGCTGCATAACTTCTACAGGTTCAAGGAACTACGAACCACGAACCTCTACAGGTTCCATGAACAACGAACACCTACAGGTTCGAGGAACTACGAACCACGAACCCCTACAGGTTCCATGAACCCCTACAAGTTCCACCCACCACGAACCAGTTCCGCACGGGTTGGCAGCTCAGTTTTCGAGAGGGTTAAAGCGCGTTGCCAGGGCAACGAGCAACTGCCAAAACAAGTAGAAATAAAAAGGAAAAAGTGGAGGCCGAGGCACAGGCTGTCAGAGAGAAATTGACTGAAATAAACTTTATTAATGAGCAGCAGCAGCAGCAGCAACATAAAGTGAAAGCGTTAAACAGATCAATTGATGGCGGAGGTGCACATAATTGGACAAATATTGAAAGCAGTTGATTTCGCCGAGCCACATCTGTACTGCACGTGGACACTGCAGAGCGGTAGGCACCCAGCAACAATCCAACCACGACGATCGATACATTTTTTTACGCATTCAATTATAGGTAGCGCCTGGCGCTTGATTCAGGGCGAGTTGCACGGACAAACGCATGTCTCCGCGAACCGTTTAGAGAGCTGCTCTGACTTTGCTGCGCCCTTGGACATTCACTTGAGTTGCGCCGCCATCCAGGGTTGGCCCACGCTGCTGGTGGAGGTGCACGCGGTGAATGTGCTGCAGCAGTCGTGGCCCGTTGGCTACGGCTTCGCCCACATACCCGCCGCGCCCGGTGCCCATCGGCTGGAGATAAACACCTGGAAGGTTGCACCCAACGGCTGGTGGCAGAGCCTGCGCGAACGCTTCGGCGGCGGTGGAGCGTCGCTGAGTAAAACCGATTTGCTCTTCTCGGGCGTCGAGCGGTACGTCCCACACTAACATTCATCATTTGTGTGCGAGGTTTTCTAATGTTTAGTGTTACTCTTTCAGTTACAAACTGCAAACTCGCAGCTCTGGAAAAATCATTGCCGATCTCAACTTGATCTTTCGCAAATTCGAGGAATACGGCGTGGAGTTTAACTAGAAATGGAGCAGAAGTGTCTCCTGCTGTGGATGCTGTGTTTCATCACAGTCCCCCACAGCCACACGATTAAGATTGGAATCTCCCACAGCTACAACACCACAGCCACAACGACACAGACAACCCCAACCACAACGGAGATTCTAGGAACAACTGCAGCAACTGTATCCGCCATGACTGAACCGGGCAGCTCCATGAGCCCCTTGCCAGAGCTGGCCACAAGCACGCCCAGCAACACTTTTCCGCCACGACCACAGCCGAAGCCCAGTGCCACGGATGCACCAAAAAGCAGCGCAACACCTGCCGCGACAGTGGCTGCCACTGACACTGCCGATGCACAGCCCCTGAATGCCACTGAGACGCCCAAGATTGCTACGAGCTTTCCGGATGATTCCTTCTACTTTTGCTCCTGCGACCTGCGCTCGGAGATGTGCGATCTGAACTGCTGCTGCGATCGCGACTGTCCTACCGAGACCAGGCAGGTCTTTAGCTGCCTGAAGGTGCTGGCTCCGCCGCAGCTGCTGTCCAGATTGGAGGACTTTCAGTACACCCACGGCCTGCCCACCTGCCAGATCAACGACGGCTGGCTCTGTGTCTTTCGCAGCAACACAAAGCCGGCTAAACTCAAGCCGCTAATCAAGAACTTTGATGCCTCGCAGTACCAGAAGTGGCCCGATCCCCTGGCAGCCTATGAAACGGAGGACACTGTGGCTCAAGCCTCGTCATCGCTGTACAAATTGGGCGAGCCCTTGCAGCTGTGGCATCCAGACAGCAAACAGTGGACCACATTTGACCTGCCCATGGCCTACGAAAGCGCACAGTGCCAGCTGAAGCAGCCCGCGCGACATCTGCAGCCGATGGTCAGCCACTGCCTGATGAGGGATCAGACTCACATGCAGGAGAGTGTTTGGGCGCTACTCAATCTGACTGCCAGCCATCAATTGCTGCCGAAACCGAGAGACTTGGAGGAGCAGGAGGTGGAGGCACTGAGTATACAAATCTGTCAGAAATTGGACAGCGGGGGAATGCTTTGCCCCGAGCCAGGAAACGACACGCAATGGGACATGCCCGTGGAGAGTCTGGAGCTGCAGCTGCTGCACAATTTCACAAACATTCTGGAGGCGAAACTGTTGATCAAGGAAGCTGCAGCCGAATATGATGACATGGAAGCCCTTTGGCTGCACTTTGCGGTGACATTTGCCACTGCAAATGAATCGCTGGCAAAGCCCAGCTCTGGGCCACTGGGCTACCTAGCTGGTGCGCCTGTAATCCTCTCTCGACTGCTGCCACAAAACACCAGCGAGGACCGGCAGTTGCTGAGCTACTTTCATGCGGGGAACGATAGGCAGGTCTACCATTGGCTGCCGTTGTTCTCGAGGAAGCCGCGCAGCAGAAACTGTCAACGGAAACTGGATGAAGAACAGGTCCTGCGCTTCGGTGTGGATCTGGCCAAGCAGTGTCTGCTGCAGCAGGCAACGCCTCCACCTGCGATCCAGGAAAAGGCCAATCACACCGAGTTCTGTAAGAGCCTGCAGGCGGAGATCTGGAAGAAGCTGCTGCCCCACAACTGCAGCAGCCTGGAGGAGATGAACCAAGTGTTTGTGTCGCAGCTGGGCAGACCGCAGCCCGATCGCTGGATACCCATTCAGCTGCACTTCGAGGAGCGCGCACACGACATGCCGCCACCCGTGCAGGGCTTCTACGATGAAGTGCAGCAGAGTCTGAGCTGCCGCAACATGTTCCTAAGCGTCAGCTACGAGTTCCATGTGGCAGACCTGGCCCTGCTCGCGGGACGAGTGCCGCATCAGCGTGTTCTGCAGCATGCCAGAGTCGTGCTCGGCCAGAGACACGATCTGGAGTTCGATGGCAGCGAAGAGCTCGTGGAGCTGCCACTGGGCGTCTCGGCCATGTTCTACAATCTCGAAAAGAGTCGACCAAACGGAGCCGCAACTGTGCTCGTCCATCGCATCATCATGGCCATGATGATGCTGCTCTGGCTGTCCCTCTAAGGCACGTCTGAAGAGATGAACAAATTTGTAATTTGAATTAACATTTGTAGAAGAGAAAATAAAAAGTAAAGCTTAGAGTATATCCCGGCGACACTTGCGTAGCTTTTTGCGCAGCAGGATGGCATCCTCTTCGGCCTGTCTCTGGCGCTCCGCCTCCTCGAGAGCGGCGCGCAGACTCTCGGCCTCGTTGTTGGCCTTCACGGAGATGTCGTGCACCTGTTGCAGAAAGTCGAGGATGCCCTTGCGTATCAGATACTGGTAGTTCATGGAGACGGTGTACTTGATCTCGACGCCAACCGCCTGGCTGAGCTCCACCCAGTGGACGTGCATCCAGTTGTCGTTGCGCAGATCCCTGATGCTATTGTAGAGGGGCACAAACTCGTCGATTTTGCCCATAAATACGTGTGCCACCTCCATGATCTCGGGCTTCTCGTTGAAGACGACCAAAGACTGCTGCAGCTCGCTGCGCAGCTCCTCCAGATAGTTCCACACCTCCTCGAGTTCCACCTGGATTATCGGATTGCCCAGCGTGGCCTCCTCGAGCTTGAGGAAGTTGGAGCAGGCGTACCACAGCTGCTTGTAGGGCTCAAAGCTCTCGATGATGCTGTGCAGGAACTCCTCAGAGAGAGGCTCCTGTTCGAAGAGCGTCTGGCGAAACTGCAGCATCTGGCTGACCTTCTGCAGTTCCTTGATCAGTGTCCAGGTCTTTTTGATGTCCACCGATGTCTCCTGGGCGCGATTCGGGTTGAAGACCAGGGAGTAGGCCTGGATCTCATCGTTGAGGGACTCGAGGCGCTCCTCAAACGCCTGGCACTCGCTGGCGTGCTGGCGCAGGAACTCCTCAATGTCGATCTTCTGCTCCTCCTTCAAGGTGGAGAGACGCACCAGGATCTGGTGCGGCCAGGCGTACACGTTCCACTTCATGGCGAACTGGTGATCGCTCAGGTTGTAGAAGAAGCTGTCCAGCAGATCGTACTCCAGCCACATGATCTGTATGTCCGCCCGCAACAGCTCCACCACATCGGGCACCGTGGCGGCAAAGTCCCGAATGCGGTAAAGGTGCTCGATGCTGATGGGCCGCTCGGCGATGCTTTTGTACACCTCCGTGCAGCGCTCCAGCAGCAGTTCGTTCGTCTCGAACATGCGATCCACGTAGTACTCGAATATGCGGCGCACAATGTCAATGCGCTTCTTGATGAGGAACTGCTTCAGCGTGTCCACGTTTATGTAGAACGGTCCGATGGTGATGAAGGCCGGCAGGATCACTCGCAGCTCCTCCTTCAACCGCTTGTGCTCGAGTATGTCCCGCTTGACCGCCGAGGAGGGCTTCTTCGCCGCGGCATAGCTCACCATGTACTCGTTGATGTCCAGCAGATAGAAGTCTATGAATTTCTCGTACATCCGCGCGTACGCCTTGAGGGGCAGCACGGCCTTGGCGTAGCACTGCCTCATCAGCTCGTTCTGGACGAGGAACTTGTCCTCGATCAGCTCCACCGTCAGAATGTACATATTGGGAGCGAACTTGAGGAAGGTCATCAGCGAAGCGTCGATCATGCGCACGCCCGAGGTCTTCTCCAGGCCCCGCTTGTAGATGTCCATCAGGGCTGGCTGGAACTCGTCGGGATTGGTGGAGTAGAACACCTTTCGATTCTCATTGATGCCCAGGGTCATGGCGAACACGGGCCTGTGGAAGGGGAACTCCGTGTCAATGTAGTTGCTGGTCCACTTGTAGCTGGCCCTGAGCTTGAGGAACTGCAGACAGGGATCGCAGACAAAGTGCGAGAAGTTCATCAGCGACTTCTCCAGCAACACCTCCATCGACTCCTGCATGCGAAACTTCACCTGCAATATGAACCGGGAGGTCTTGCACATCAGATACACGGTCCAGTCGAGCAGCGATATGTCCAGATAGCCCTTGCCCAGCGCCCGCAGCACCAACGTGATGACGGAGGTGAGCTGCTGGGGCCAGTTGACCTTCAGGTACGTGGCCACATTGTCGCTGTGCGCCTCCTGCGAGTTCAGAAAGTCCACCAGCGCCAGCGGCTTGCTAAAGTTGCAGACAAAGATGGACATGGTCTCGATGTGCTGGCACTCGATAGCGACACCGGCCATGGCCTCGATGCCGCCGGCACAGTAGAAGAGACTGGCCTTCAGGTAGTCGTAGCGCTTCGACGTCATGGTGATGCCCAGGGCCTGGACCGCCGCTCGCTCCCGCTCCGAGATATCGTTGCGGAAGTCGCGGGGCAGAAACTCCTTGAGGTCAATGTTGCGGAACTGTGGAAACTCCTTGGGCATCTTGATGATGAACTGCTCCAACTCGTAGAGCGCCATGAGGCGCTCAAAGACCAAGTTAACCTCCGATCGCAGGCGTCGCTTGCACTGCTCGGAGACCTTGGCCGCTTGCAGCACGGCCTCGATGGGTTTGAAGCTGTAGAAGACCGTCGACTCGATGTCCTCGTGGAGCACACAGTCGACGATCAGCTCCATCAGCATCAGCTGCTCGCCCTTGTAGCGCTCATGAATGGCTGCCTTCAGGCGGCCGATGTACTTGTGCGGATCCTCGGCCAGGAACATGAACTGGAGCTTGGGCACCTCATAGGTGCAGCCATCCTCCAGCGAGATGAGCTTCCACAGGTCCGTATCTTCGTTGTACGCCGTGACGGACGCCAACACCCACTGGCATCTGAGCAGGCTCCGGTTGAATGGCAGATACGCCTTCGCGGGCAGTGGATAGTGCGCCTCCCCCACCACGCCCAGAGCAAACCAGGCCGCTGGCGAGTTGATGTCGTAGTTGCTGTCGTCAAAGTAGCTCAGAGGGAACTTGTGCGGGAAGGCAAACTCCGACATCACGTTGTACTGCTCCTCGGTGGGCTGCAGCACCTCGTCGGTGAGTCCCGCGCGCTGCAGTTCCTCGGTGAGATTGATCTTCTGGTACTGCCGCCTGCGGCGGTCCACCTCTACGTCCTTGGGCAGCTGACGCTTGGGCACATAGCGTGTCTGAATCACCTTCGGTAGTATGGTCGGCAGGGGAAAGCGGTGCGATTTGCCCATTTTGTCGACCAATGTCAGCCAGCGCTGTGCCTCCTCGATGGGATAAAAGACGGAGGTCAGCTGATCGCGTGGTATGTACAGCTCCTGGTAGTTCATCACCGCAGTCCCTGGCCGCGGCGGCATAATGCAGATCGGCTTGCCAATGGTCATTTCCCTATGGTTATCAAAGCCCTGTAGGCTTAGTGCGCCACCAGTATTCGCGGGGGAGCCTTGCTCCGAGCTACCATCCATAATTGAAGTCGATTACTTCGCTGTCGATTTTTCCTATTTACAAAAATAAATTAGTTTTATTTATTGAAAGTGTGCAAATGGCATTTACCACAAACGTGTTCTGATTATGGCAAGTATTTGGAACAATGCCAATAAGCTCTACTCTTGCAGCGTGGAACAGGAAGCGGCGATGTGCCAGAACCCGTATCGGGGCTACATCTGCTGAGCGCCTGATCTACCATAGATTCATAGTTGACATGCCTACAGTTGCATGACAGCGTCCGTTGAGTAAGCCAGAACAAATAGCAAATTCCAATAACATTTTCAGAGTCTTACGGCTAAGGATCTGAATAATTTGTTTATAAAATGTCTTAATTTAAATATTTACATATGTAGTTAGGTTGTCTGTCAGTTGTGGACCATCCCGGCAGCTGGATATCATCCTGGTGGTGCCGGAAGTTTTGTTCCTGTAATACCCATGATCGTTAGCCTGATCGGCCGTTATCCTGGTTGAGGCGGCTGTTGCTTACATCAAATCAGGCTCGAATGCCTGCCAATCGGTTGATTATTTATTTAAGTGGCTGCTGCTGCTCCAACTGGATTACTGGTTGTTGTGGCTAAAAGGAAAAGAAAAATTGAAGCAATGAAAAACAAAGGCAAATCATACATTTGGGTGTAGTTACATATGTCACTTATGTACATCTGTGTGGCGCCTCAGAAACCAAGCGGACATTTATGGAACGATTAAATGCATCTCTATCCAGCACTGTTTTTTCGTTGGTATTTTTGTCCGGCATTAGTAACAGGCTCCACCCTCTCTATGCCATACCACTAACCAAATAGTCTACTATACTAGTATAGTAATAATAATAGTATACTATACTATTTGGTTAGTGGCCATACTCCATACTATATTGTGAAAGTGAAAGGGTATATTTCCGAGTGTCTGTCGGGGTATATCTTACCGATAAATCCGCGGTCACACTGGCGGTATATTTTATCGATAAGTCCGCGGCCACACTGATGAAATGGACGATTGTAAGTGGAATTTTGTTTTGAATTGCAACTAAGAATTTACTTACTTTAAAACCGATACAAATGTGTACAGCTGCAGCCAATCTAAGCACCAGCATGTGCGACGTGGACGAGCAGGACTTGTCCTCAGCGTTGTTGAACAACAACGTGAGCTTCAGCAGCACAATGGTGACATCAAGCGCGGATCTGTCTTTCAGCTTGAGCGAGGCGGAGAAATGCAAACTGATGCAAAATATTGATGTGAACTGCAGGCCAAGTGAGGACATGGAACTGAGCATTCCAGAGAAGAACAGCAGCGTGCAGGAGAAACCCACGCTGGAGGAGCAGGCCACACTGGATGAGGAGACCACTCTGGATGAAGCATCAACCCTAGAGGAGAGCGAGTCCGTCATAAACCTCGAAGACACCATAGACGAAGTCGCACCGCAAGCGACTGTGCCGCAAATCCCTCAATTGGTTGTCAACCAGCCGGTGGAAGCCGACGAGGATGAGTTCGTTTTGGCAGAGGAAGCCATGGAGATTGTGGAAGAACCAGCAGCTGTAGAGGTTGTTCCGCCAGAGTACTTTAAAGGTAAACTAATCGAGGTGGGACGACGTTGTTGGAAATCTTCAGCCGATGCTCAGCATTACACCAAAGGCTGCTATTGGTCGCCGGACGGTACCTGCCTGCTGGTGCCCATCCACTTGGATGGAATGCACGTCATGGAACTGCCGCCGGACCTGTATACCGCCACAACAGTAGCGCAGGAGCGCAGCCTAACCAGTCTTGTGCCTGCAGTCCATGTGCCCGAGGGGGGCACGGTCTATGACTGCGTGTGGTATCCCCATATGAACAGCCAGCAACCAGATACCTGCTTGTGAGTATATCAATTACTGCTGTCTGTAGCCCAATCTGATGCGTAACTTCGTCGCTTAGCTGGCTGGCCACACGGCAACACGAACCCATTCACATGTGGGACGCCTTTGACGGGAAGCTGCGCTGCAGTTACAGTGGCTACGATGCCGTGGACGAAGTTATGGCCGCCATATCCTTGGCCTTCTCGCACGACGGACAGAAGGTCTATGCGGGCTACAAGCGATGCATCAAGATCTTCGACACAAGCCGACCCGGTCGTCTCTGTGACGACTATCCGGTGAAGTTCGCCATCTCGTGCATTGCGCAGACTACGGAGCAGCCCAATACCTTGACTTGCGGCAACTGGCACGGCTACATTCAGCACTTCGATCTCCGTTGCAGCCCCAAGCAGGGACCGCTCTTCACGCTGGGTGGCCACAAGGCAGGCATTACACAGCTGAAGTACGCCGACGGCGCTGCGGGCTGGCAGCTGTTCAGCGGCGCTCGAAAGTGCCCAAAGCTGCTGCAGTGGGACATGAGGAACTACAAGAAGCCCTTGGCAGAGTACCAGCGCCATGTGGACACCAATCAGCGCATACAATTCGATCTGACGCCGGACCTGGGCTGGCTGGCCAGCGGCGACACGCAGGGTGCTCTGAACGTCTGGGATATGAACGGCGACGGAGAAGTGTCTGCCCTGCCACTCCACAATGACTGCTGCAATGGCGTTAGTTTCCATCCCACGCTGCCAATCCTCGCCTCCAGCTCGGGCCAATATCATTTCATTGGCACCGATGGTTATGGTTGTAAAAATGACAGCGTTCTAGATTGCACAGGCGCCGCGGAGCCGGAGCTGTCGAGGGAGCAGCCACTGGAAGTGATTTACGAGAATGCCGTGGTGATGTGGTGGTGCGGCTAAAATCTGTGACTCGCAGCTGCAGGCTCCCAGTGACGCAGAATGTTTTTTTGTAATAAATTGTGCTTATTTATAAAAAAGCTGTGTCTTTATTCTTGCCTCCAGTTTGAAATACTAAATGCCTGTGTGTCCACCTACTAGGTAAATCCTCTGGTTATATGATTATTATGAACTGTTCGGGGGGGTCTCTCAGCCTCACCTTAGAACCGCTTTAGGAACTCCTCGGCGCATGTTCGAGCCCTGGCATTCACGGCCAGCTTCATTTCGCTTATTTCCTTGTCGATCTCCTCCATGAAACTAATCACGAAGTCCACCAGCTTGTGCTTGTACATCTGCTCCGTGTGAAAGTTGGTGATGAGGAAGCTAATGTCGTAGCCCTCGATGGGCTTCCGGCGCAATATGATGAAGGATTCGGCGCGGCGCATCATGAACCGCGTGAACTTGTGGCAGAGTATTTTCTCGATTTCGTCCGCCTGCTTCACGGAAATGCTCACACGCACCGAGTTGATCGATGGCTCTATCAGCACCTTCTCCCGCTCGTTGCGCGACACCACAATGGGCGTTAGCACCAGTTCTTTGCTGGAGCATATTTCTACCTCCGGCTTGTTGTGGCGTTCGACCACTTGGGACGGGAAATCCTGCAAGCACATGGCGGCGGTGAGCGAGTGCCGCACGGCACTCAAATAGGGTTTCAGGGTGGCGGCCATTGCGTGGGCTTGTTGTTGCTAACGTTTGCTGCTAATCGTTTGATTTGTTGTTTAAAAATCACTTTTTTACTTAATTTTATTATGATTCACAAAACAGTGTGACCGTGGATCTATCGATAGAATATACCGTGCGAGCGACCCTCAGCAATATACCTTATATACCAATAAATTATGTACCATAGCCTAACGATTTTAACCCACTCAAGCACCGTCTACTTATGCAGGGAAACAACGCGAGACAAGCATCAAAATAAAAGGCTGCTGACAATTACCACATTATATATAGATGTGCCAGGAGCAAAAATAAAAATTCAATTAATTAATCCCGCGACTGGCACATCTATATATTGATTGGTTAGGGCTGTTGGTAAATTGGCAGAATGTGGTTTCCTTTATGGCACGCAAAAGTTGCTATAGAAACAGCACAAAATGTTTCCTTTAACTTTCAAAACACGCATTTTGTACCAATTATAAATATTTCATTTATTTGTATTATGCACTTTTATTATACATTCATTTATAAGTATTTTGCTTGCTTATCGTCATTTATTTTGTTGCTTATGTAAACTTAATGTTAAGTTATGCGTGAACCTAGAAAAACCATTTTCGCAAGCTATCGTGTTTCTGTTTTTTGTATATGAACTATATAGAGAACATTGATTTGCATTCGGTTGATTACTGGAGTTGATTACACATTTATATTAGTAATATATCATAAATTGAGTAAATATCGAAGCATTTTTATCAATTGTATTGATGCACTTGCAATGTGGGTTTCGTGTATCAAGTTTCTTTAGCTTTTATTTTTCTTTTGAATATGTCTGCAAAGTGTTCTCCTGTCTGGGTTGCTGTTGGGGCTCTGTGCGTATAATTCCCTTGCATATAATATATACTCAGTTATAGTAGCCATAGTATTACACATTTATAACGGTATGAGAGAGATATTCAAATTTAAGCTAAATTCAGCGCCCTTTCTCGTGTAAAACCAAAAGTTTGGGGAAAATATTCGCAGCAACTGCAAACAAATTTGCCTAAATTTTCAATTTCCATTTTCGTTTTGTATTTGAATCCCACCCATAAATTTCGGCAAAAAATCTGCGTCATTTTTTCTCTAAATATAACTCGACGTTAGACAAAATATGCTTTTCCATATCATTCCATACATAATTAATTTATATTTATATATTTTACTTTAATTTTTTTGTTACTTATGTTAATGCCTAAATTGTGTTTATGTTGTTGTTATTATGTTATGTTGTTATGTTGTTATGTTGTCTGTAAATAAAACGAAAATGCAGTGTTTTGTTTTACTTTGTATTCGATTTCATTTTTTATTTATTTTTATAAGCATTTCTTATGTATTTTTATCTGTTTGACATTTATTTTATAGATAGAAAATGCGAAACTTAAAATTGTAATTGTTAGTGTCGAACTGTCTCCAACTTTAGTTTTCCTTTTTTTTTAATATTTCCTTGCTTTTTTTACGTATGTTAATAAATAAAAAATATGGTTAAATTATACACGTATTTATAATATATATTTGTTTAAATGATAGATCTCGTGAATATTGAGTTTCTGGCAAATAGCAAGTACAACAAATGTTTCGAGGCAAAATTAATTATTTTTCTTGTATGGCTTTTATTTCAAATTACGTTTGTTGCGAATTTCTCGTTCAGTTTGATGACAATCTGTAGGAGGAGGAGGAGCTTTAAAAGTGTTTAAAATCGTCAAATTGAACAAGTGTAAAACGAGAAATTCGAACTTGAGCAAACGTATTTTGAAAGGCTTTTGTTTTTTAGATTTGATGTTTCAATTAATTTTGCCGTTTGCTATATCGCTTGGATTTCACCTTGCTTTGTGTTGTGTTTTGTATTGTTGAAAAGATTTGTGAATAAATGTTGCTGGTTGTTGCTATATCTTTCTAGGGCCTCATCTCGCTCAGCGGAATCTTGAGATGCATTCGATATGCCCCTGGCCGTCTTCCTCTGTCGTTTATAATACTTGAAATATTCTCGAAGCAAATTTGATGCTGCCTTTTGCTTTAGATTTTGCTTAAATATGTGTGGTTGGTGTATGTAGTGTTGCCGTTGTAGTTTCTCTATTCTTGTTGTTTTGTTGTTGCAGTAAGTAATGACGGTCTACGTCCTGCACAGCTCCTCTAACCCGACGAGGCGATGGCATTCTGCTGTCCATCCATATCCTGGGTCTGGGCCTTGTTCTGGCGCACGAGCTCGGCACGGCGCTCCTGCAAAATCACAAAACAAAAGAAACAATTAGCTTGGGACCTTAAAGGGTTTCTCATGTGGAGAACTACTGCTACTCAAATGATACGGCATATGAGAGGCTGTTTATGTAGGTATGTTGATGGGTAAGTAAATTGGGGGAACAAACGTACAAGTTTTTGCACTTTTTCGATTTTCTTTTGTATCTCCTTTTCGCGGTTCTGCTCGGCGGCAAACAATTTGTTTTCATATATGCGCGCCTTCTCCTCGATCTTTTGTGTTTCCAATTGATCTTGGTGTGATTTAACCTCGGCAATTTTGACAGTGTTCTAAATGAGAGGATATAAGAGAAATGAACACAAAAATTATATATACACATGATCGATCCGAAAAACAAACACACACATATAAACAGTGCAGAGTACACAGAGGGTCAGATGAAAGGAAATATTTATGGAAGGAAGTCTGGGAATATTTTTGGATAGTCCACAATGAGAAGCTAATTCGGAATCAGTATTGTTACGCTTTTGGATATTTTTCCCAAACAGAAATGATTGGTGGTATGAAATGTAGTTACAAAAGATTTTAAGTGGTTTCGGGAAATATATTCACTGAAAATTGTAGTTTGAAAATAGTTGTTCTGTCTTAATGGTTTAAGTTGCAGAAAAGATAAACGGCCATTTGCCTTATGGAATAAGAGTTGAATAGGAACCAAATACTGGTGGTTATTTCTACAAATGGAGGATATATAAAACCATAAAAGGGTTTACACTACAGATAAAAGGATGCTTATGTGGAGAAAAGTTAAAACCTAATGTAGAACCTGATTGGGATTTTACAAAGAATTAAATTGATTTGAATATTCGGCAAGTTTTGCCTCTAAATATTTACTACTGTCTCTATCTTCTAAGTAAAGCAACTAGTTATGGAGATGAAGTCATCCAAAATTCAAGCCATGCTGTCTTGGTGTATTGCACACACTCACATGCTCCTTGAGGCGATTGAGCATCTTCTTGATGTTTTCATCGCGCAAGGCCTGAGCAATCTTGAGCTTCTCCTCAATGGCCTTCTGCTCATTGGCCTTCTGCTGCTCCAAAGTCTCGCGCGTCTTTTCAATCTCCTGGGCGTGAATCTGTACAAGAGAGTTTATACGTAAGTTCTATGGAAACTATGTAACGAAATGTCAAACCTTTAGCTTCTCCTTCATGTCGCTGATGATTGCCTCGCGCTTCTCCACATGCAATTCCATCTTGGTCTCCAATTGCTCCTTGGTCTGAGTGATGAACTCATTGGTGATCTCATCCTTCTTGCGGGTGGCCTCATCCACCTTGGCCAACTTGTTAGAGATATCAGCCATCTTCTTGGCCTCCAGAGACTGCGACGAAAAACAAACAAATTCATTTTGTTAAGCCGACGATAACCGAGAAGGGGCGACCGAATACTACTCACAATGCGACGCTCTTCGGCTGCCTTGAGCTTCTGCTCAATCTCCTCCACGCTGACGTTCTTGCCGGGGGTGACCGGACGCTTGGGAACGGCCACATTGGGTGCCGGTTCGGCCAGAATGACCTCATAGCTCAGTCCGCCGCGGGACTTCTCCTGACAGCGAATCTCAGTGGCTGTAAACGACAAAGAGAAGCAGGAGATGGGCAGCCGTTAAAGAAATTCAATATTTGTGCATTGGCGGGGGGTGTCGGCCTGCTATAAATATAAAGTTGTGGTCGAGGGTGAAGTCCAGTTTCATCCTTAAGCCACCCTCTGCTGCTCGTATGACATCATTTTTGCACTGCCTCCCTCCCCACTAACTCGATGCCTTTTGTGTACTTTTCACATTTAAGGCCGAAAAGCCGTGACCAAAACCCAACAAAGTGCAGGAATATAAATATATGATTACAAATGAAGAGAGGGTGGCCAAAAGTTCAATGAGGCCTTAGCTTGTGGCTCATGTGCGGATTTCTTAGAAATAAAGCTGTACCACACAACAGTCCAGCGATCTGCATGGGCGCTATAAATGTCCAGCCAAAATCGATTCCCAAAGTCCCCAAATTAACTACCAAATCTACACATGGTTGTGATAAACCTTGCCCTCTTCATAGATTCAGATAGAGTAATAAAAGTATAAAGAAATTGAAGTGGTAAAGCACTCGCTCAAAGTTAATTGCATTCTGGCAAAAGTCGCTGCTCTGCGCCCCAAAAATATCCATTAACTTTTGTTTTTTGCATTCACAGTTGGGTTTCGCACTTTTTTAAGCGCATTTTGATTAATGGCCACGCCGGCTTCACTCTCCAATGCACACACCGCCACGTACCACCGTTACATACAGTGGCTCCAGGACATATTCACACTTTTCCGAGATCAAAACCATAATTCATGCAAGCGCCACACAGCCACACAAAACGAGAATTCCGGCAAAGTTGTTCGCTGACAATGATGGGCAGAATGGTGCCACACGCACACACACATACACAGGGAGCAGAGAGCAGTTCAGGAAAATGGTAAAGAAAACCGAATAAAATGCGAATTTTCACACGAAATAATTATTAAAATTAAATGCACAGCAGCAAAAGTGTGCAGTTTTGGAGTTTTGGGAGCTCTTTAAACAGTTTCAGATTATTATTATTTATATTAAATTCCAAGAATAAATAGTTGAAAGAACACACATTAACATAATAATCCTAATTACATTAATTATTGCAACCTTATAGCCATGGAATAAACAGTTCCCAGAAAAAGCCACAGGTGCCATAAACATTTCCTAGAGTTCAAAGTTTTATTTCTAAGCTACTCTTACGTACGAGCAACGGTTTCCAACACCTTTAAAGTTGGATATTTAATCTGTAAGCATTCCATAGCTCCCTCATAAATATAAACATCCTATGGATTGCGTATATACGAAACAAAAACGGTAAGCAAACAGCAATTGGAGCACAGGCCCGACCCATGTATAAATATCGCCATCCCAGACGGCGAACCCGAGAACAAATCATAAACAATTCGCATCAGCAAAAATCCAGCCAAGAAAACCCAACGGCCCCCTTACTGGCAT